AACCCTTGAAGGGTTTATGCTGGTGTGTTATACCAATAAAGGATTTTTGTGCGAAAGCGTTTCTGAGAAAAAGGGTATTTGAAAATAAAAAGGGTTTATGACTAGCGCAAAAGGGTTTATTGTTCTGCCATTTCATGACAAGGGTTTATTATTTTACGGTTAAGGGTTTATTGTTCTACCCTTTCACGAAACGGGTTTATTATTCTACGGTCAAGGGTTTATTGTTCTACCTGTTCATGAAAAGGGTTTATTATTCTACGGCAAAGGATTTATTGTGCTACCTTTTCATGAAAAGGATTTATGATTCTACGGCAAAGGGTTTATTGTTCTACCTTTTCGTGAAAATGGTTTATCATTCTACGGCAAAGAGTTTATTGTTCTACCTTTTCATGAAAAGGGTTTATTATTCTACGGTAAAGGATTTATTGTTCTACCTTTTCGTGAAAAGGGTTTATCATTCTACGGCAAAGGGTCTATTGTTCTACCTTTTCGTGAAAAGAGTTTATCATTCTACGGCAAAGGGTCTATTGTTCTGCCTTTCCATGAAAAGGGTTTATTATTGTACGGGTAAGGGTTTATTGTTCTACCTTTTTCATTAAAATGGTTTATTATTCTACGGTCGAGGGTTTATGTAATAGATTTAATGAATGTTTATGAAACGCCAAGATTTGCTCAAGTGGTTCGTATTCTCAAAATGAATTACAAATGGTGGTTGTTGGTAGACATATTGAAAACTATTTGTTACAATGAGAATTTATGTGCTTGGGAGATCAAATCAAAGAATAATTATTCTATGCTTGATCCATATTGTGCGAAATATTTTTATAAAGGACTTGAGATTTACGAATTAGATAACTCAAGTTTTATTTCATTTACTGCACGTCTCACTTTGCATTGATAAATTCACAAGAGATAGATAGTATTCCACAAGTTCTTATCTGATTGAAATATATATAAATTTCTTATTGATCAAACTAGAACTCAATTCCATCTGATCATCATTAAATCTTTCTAAACTTCTTTTTATATCAATAGATATTAGACATAGTATACGACTGAAAATCATCGTATTATATTCAAATACAAAAATTTAGAACAACCGTATGTAATAGATTTTTCGGATTATAGAGAATAATAAATTTTCCTACTTTACTAAAATAAGATACCTCATCATCTGAGTCTATGGGTTTTTTTATTTCAAATTGAACTTTGAATAAAAAAATAACACTCCATTTTTACCAAGGCAGGGGAACTAAGGGGACTAAGAAATTCTTTGAATTCAGAATTCAAGAATTCTTTGATTCCTTATAAAAAAGGGTACCATGTATACATACATAAGATATATAGAATTCACTCGACATATGTTATATCTATGCTACCTTTTTTGAGGATGGGCTAGGAAAACTAAGGGGACTAAGGAGACTAAGGGGAATAAGGGGACTAAGGGGACTAAGGGGACTAATCGGACTAATCGGACTAATTAAGCTGACTAAGGGGACTGAGGGGTGTGATTCAGTGGGGAAGCGCGTTTCCCCACCTAACACACCTTTTATTTCAGCGTCGCGGCGTGGGGGCGCGAAGCGCCCCCCGAAGAGCCGCGACCCATGCACGTCTCTGTGTACACCATTATTCCTACTCAGTGCTGCACATTACTTAGTACCCTTAGTTCCCTTAGTCCCCTTAGTCCTCTTAGTCCCCTTAGTCCCCTTAGTCAGCTTAATTAGTCAGCTTATTTCGATTAGTCATCTTAGTCCCCCATTTCAATTGGAAATCAAGTGTTTTTTTTTGTTTAAATTCAGATTGAAATCAAATAACCCATTGTATGCCGCAAGGGCAAATCCAAGTCTCAAATCCTGAATCATTCAAATCATGTTACTTTTCTTCCTGTCTTTCTAAAAAGGATGCAAAACAAAATGTCAAGAAATTTCTTTTTGTTCAAATATAAGGGCAACTCAATTTTTCATTTAGCTTTGGGTATGCTTCATATGTTAACTTAGCTTTTGTCTTGGTGTGTGCATCTTTTTAATTTTAAAATGCTCGCTACAATACTACGACAACGACATCTTTGTATTTATATTTCGCTCTTATTTTCATGAAGGATGGGTACGTGGAGAGGAAGAGAAAAAAAATTATTGGTGAATAATCTCTAATCGAGACGGAAGAGAACGAAAGAGAACGAAAAAAAACATTTTTCTATTTCTAGCGATCATCGTTCTCGTATTAGTCATACATATATTTATCTATAGGGAGGGAAAAAATAGTTCACTTATTCGTTGCATGCTATTGATCGGAAGAAAGAAACCAATAAAGTATTTTTCCTCTCCTGTCGATAAGTAAATCGATGACTAACAGGCGGGCGATGATCGCGATAAATACAAAAATTGTTTTTTTCCTTCTTTCTGGTTCTCTTCCACCCAGTTAGATATTATTCACGAATTTTTTTTCTCTTCCTCTCCACATACCCATCCTTCATGAATATAAGGACGAGGTAAAAAAAGAAAGATGTCGTTGTCGTAGCGTCATTGCGAACATCTTAAAATTAAAGAAATGCACATAATTAGAAAAAGCCGAAGCTAACATATAAAGCATAACCAAAACTAAATTAAAAATTCATTTGCACTTTTATTTGTAGAAAAATAAAATTTTTTCACGTTTTCTTTTGCATGGCTTTCAGAAAGACAGAATGAAAAAGCAACATAAGTCGAGCGATTGTAGGATTGGGACCTCGATTTGCCGTTTCGGAGGGGATCCAAAGGTCAAATCGAGCGAAAAAGATGTTCATTCGATAGAGCTCGACGGGTTCTATCGTGGTATATTATTTTCAGTTTTTCGTATAAGCGATAGGCGACTCCAGGTGCAGAATACTGCAAAAATCCGGATTTAGGCCAGGATTTGCCCTTTCGAAGGGGATCCAAAGGTCAAATCGAGCCGAAAAGGTGTCCATTCGGTAGCGATCATCGAGTTCCATAGATCTATGCCATTTTTAGCTTTTGGTCCCAGCTGGGAGCGAATCCCGGTGCGGTTTTTCATTGGAAAACCAGTGTTTTCTGGGTATACTAGGATTCTTAGGGGAGGAAGGTACCTAAAATACTTTAAAAGGTGTCCATTCGATAGAGCTCGTCGAGTTCTATCGATCCATGTCATTTTCAACTTTTGGTCCCAGTTGGGAGCGAATTCCGGTGCGGTTTTGCATTGGAAAACCAGGGTTTTCTGGGTATATTAGGATTCTTAGGGGAGGGAAGTACCTAAAATACTTTGAAAGGTATCTATTCGATAGAGCTCGTCGAGTTCTATCGATTCATGTCATTTTCAGCTTTTGGTCCCAGCTGGGAGCGAATCCTGGTGCGGTTTTGCATTCGAAAACCAGGATTTTCTAGGTATACTAGGATTCTTAGAGGAGAGAAGTACCTAAAATACTTTGAAAGGTGTCCATTCGATAGAGCTCGCCGAGTTCTATAGATCTATGCCATTTTCAGCTTTTGGTCCCAGCTGTGAGCGAATCCTGGTGCGGTTTTTCATTGAAAAACCAGGGTTTTCTGGGTATAGTAGGATTTTTAGGAGGAGAGGGGTGCCTAAAATATTTTGAACGGTGTCTATTCCACAGAGCTCGTCGAGTTCTATCGATCCATGTCATTTTCAACTTTTGGTCCCAGCTGAGGGCGAATCCCGCTCGACTTTCCCTAGAAAAACAGGTTTTCTGGATGTATTAGGATTTTATGGGGAGATGGAAGCACATAAAATACCTTAAAAGATGTCCATCGGATAGAGCTCGTCGAGTTCTATCGATCTATGCCATTGTTGGCTTTTGGTCCCAGCTGGGGACGAATCCCGCTCGGCTTTACCTGAGAAAAACCAGGTTTTCTGGATATATTTGGGTTTTATGAGAGGACCGAAGCACATAAAGTACTTTTAAAGATGTGCATCGGATAGAGCTCGTCGAGTTCTATGCATCTATGTTGTTTTCGGCGTTTGGTCCCAGCTGGAAGCGAATCCCGCTCCCCTTTACCTGAAAAAAACCAGGTTTTCTAGATATATTGAGGTTTTAAGCGGATGGAAGCACATAGAATAGTTCAAAAGGTATCCATTGGATAGAGCTCGTCGAGCTCTATCGATCTATGTCATTTTCAACCTTTGGTCCCAGTTGGGAGCGAATCCCGGTACGGTATTATCGGCAAAAACCAGGTTTTCTGCAAAGATTCATATTTTAAGAGCGGACGAAAGCACAAAATATACTTGAAAAGGTATCCATTGGATAGAGCTCGTCGAGTTCTATCGATCTATGTGATTTTCAGCTTTTGGTCCCAACTGGGGGCGAATCCCGGTGCACTTTACGAAAAAAATCTGATTTTTTTGCTTATTTTTTTACAGTATTTTAAGTTTTTCTCCCGCTTGGAATGGTTTTGGAGAAAAAGTAAATAGTGCATTCGATAGAGCTCGTTGAGTTCTATCTTGGTCCGCAGAGTTTGATTTTTGGTCCCAACTGTGAGCGAATCCAGTTGCAGAATACTCGAATCCAGGCCCAAGATATCCTACATATCATAATCGATGTTTATCATGTGATCTTATTAGAAAAGGAGATTTAGGTATGGAAATTAAAAATGTTATATTTTTATATATAATGAGAAATAGATTTGTGTAAGGATGAAACCCTTCGCTTGTCTTTAGGAAGTTTCTTTAGAGCAAGTCGACAGAAAAAATTCTTAAACTTTCAAGACATATATATCTCGAGGAGTAGAGTAAAATTTATCGAAATTCTTGGATGGTTTCTTCTGCAAGATATAGTGGGCCCAAAGAGTAAAAAGTTTCAAAATGATCGGTTGTGGCATATATGCATTAGGATTTTTTAATTTCTTCAATGAAATTTACTAAATGCTTAGTGATATGAGAAGTCTATGATTGATCCTTAGCATATTTTGAAAAACGAAACTATCATTCTTATAAGGATTTGTTATTATTATTAAAAAATAAAAAATAAAAAACTCATTAATTCTTTGATATAGATCTTCTCAATCATCTATCTAGTATTCAAGGTACATTTATTCGTCTTCGTTTTCATGATATTAATGATTTAATGAAAGCTCGTAAAGAATTACAACCAATTGTTAAACGTAATATTGAACGTGAAAAAGAACAACAATCTCATCCTGAATTAGTTGTATTAAAACGAACTACATCATCAAATTCAACTAGTGATCTTATTGTTGATGGTCTTTCAAATGCAAATGTTGCTGAAAAACAAATTGATGGTATTATTGAATTACGTGAATTTGATGTACCATATCATATTCGAGTTTATATTGATTTAAAAATAAATGTTGGCCTTTGGTTTGTATTTATAATTAAATATAGAAAATAATGATAATTTTTTTTTATTCATTTTATAATTAGGTATGGTATTCTTGGTCAATCAAATAGTGGACCACAAAATCAACTTCTATTAAAATTAGATTTAATTGAACAACTAGAACCAATTATTTTTGCATTTGATATTGAATGTACTAAAATACCATTGAAATTTCCTTCAGCTGCATCAGATCAAGTAAATATTTTAAAAGATTACTGCTTTATATTAACTATCAGTTTTGAATCACTTCAGTTGGAAGGAAATAAGTTCTGATACATATCGGATATTTTTTTTTGTCAAAATCAGTTTCTGAACAAAAAAAAACGAAGTTTTTCATCCTGTTTTTTTCCCCACACGGTACGTCTGAGAGGGTTCGAAATTTTTTAATGAGTATTTTGGTCAAATTGGTTTTGTTTTTAAATTCTCTTCATAGATTATGATGATATCTTATATGATTGATACACAAGGTTATTTAATAATAAATTATGAAATAAGTTCACAAGATATTGATGATTTTGAATATACACCAAATGAAGAATATCCTGATCATTTTCATGTTTTTAATCAACCAAATGAATTTGAATTAATCAAACGTTTTTTTAATCATATTATTGATGTTAAACCTCATATATATTAGTAACATATAATGATGATTCATTTGATATACCATTTGTTGAACAACGTGCACAATTTTATGATTTAAATAACGCCTGCCAGGGATGTGTTAACATCCACAGGGTCTCATGACTGCATAGCAATCATGAGAGGCGCCCCTGGGCTGCTGGTAGCCACCTTGTCTTGCTCTTAGGTTAGCCTCCTATAAACAGGACTCTAAACTTTTACTGGCTAATGAAAAAGATCAGAGAATGATTTAAATATGTTTAATGAAATTGGATTTCGAAAAGATTCTCAAGATTGTTATTTATCACGTCCATATATATATAGCAGGGCTGGGCGAGTCAAGCCTTTTCTCGAGTCGAGTCAAGTCCGAGTCATATAAAAAAAATTTCGAGTCGAGTCAAGTCAAGTCATCGGTGTTACCGAGTCAAGTCGAGTCGAGTCAAATAATTTTTTTGGTTTGCCATTCTTCTCTGTTTATTTTTACTAAGAAGATTCATAAGAAAGTTTCGTTGCACAGTATCTAATTACAAGATCATAGGAACAAAAATTGA